ATCGGAGTAGGAGGTATATACATGGAGTACCTTGTTGTCCTGGTTTTGCCATTTTCACATACATTATGCGCTCTGTGATAATAATTACGTCTGTCAGGTAGTGTTAATATGGGATGTGTCATCTATCCCAAAGCAGAGAGGTAAATCTCCTGAAATGAATCAGTCATAATAATGCCGTATTAACTCTATGTTGTTTTAACCTGATTGGGATAATCCTCTCTGTTTAATGCAGTGGATTTAACAGAACCGCCGAATGATACTGGATTATATGTCATTTTACCGATTATAATCTTATCATCTCTTCTCCTGGCTGGGACATTAATGGTATCACATCAGAGGTACACTTCAATCTGTATGTCTCTTTCACTATCTCTGTCTGTCTATCACATTATATCTTATACTGCCTGTCTGTGTCCCTATCCTTCTGTCCTGTTCTATTTCTGTCTGTCTCTTTCACTATGGCTGTCTCTTTCACTATCTGTCTGTCTCTTTCACTTTTTCTTTCTCAGTCAACTCTACCTCTGTCTGAATCTATCACAATCTTTCTCCCTGTCTCTCTAGCAATCTTTGTCTGTCTGTATCCCTCTCTCATGTTTAACACCCTCTCTTTTCCTGTATCTCTATCAATACATTTTCTTTCTGTGAACACATGTCTCCCACATCTGTCTCGCTATATAATTTTCTGTGGTGTTCAAGGAATGTTGAATTGGTCACTCCCAGCTGTTGTTAAAGGGATACTCCACTACCAAAAAACAATAATCACTGTTTAGTAGATATACCCAAGGCAGGTGCTCTGGGCAGTTGCTGCCTCTTGAGTTTATCTCCAATGATCTAAACAAACCAGGAAGTAACAGGACCGGTTGTTTGATTGACAGCCAGGGGGGCATAACAAGGTTTGTATTTAAATTTTCACTTTTTGTAAAATGAAAAACAGAGGAAACATTCTTCACACATAAAGCATTTCAGCAAGTTAGTGTTTTAAGTGTTCAGAGTGTCCCTTTACGGTGCAGCTCCCATCTTTCATGCTGTGTTTGTAGGCTAACCGAGAACGATTGGTGCTTTCGTTTTCCTGGAGAACTGTGTCTTTAATCATTTTAAGTGAGATCAATTATATGTAGTAAATAGTGATGTCCTGAACTGTTCGCCGAACGGTTCGCGAACAGTTCGCCAAGGACTCATCATTGAGTAAACTTTGACCCTGTACCTCACAGTCAGCAGACACATTCCAGCCAATCAGCAGCAGACCCTCCCTCCCAGACCCTCCCACCTCCTGGACAGCATCCATTTTGAAGCTGCATTCTTACTGAGCTGTCCAGGAGGTGGGAAGGTCTGGGAGGGAGGGTCTGCTGCTGATTGGCTGGAATGTGTCTGCTGACTGTGAGGTACAGGGTCAAAGTTTACTCAATGATGAGTCCGTGGCGAACCGTTCGGCGAACAGTTCAGGACATCACTAGTAGTAAATAATAAAAAAATATAGTATTTTTTTTTTTTTAAATATATTTGGTTTTACCACTTGGTAGAACTAAATCATGTATATATTTTTATAACTTTAGAAATAAATGACTGTCAGTTAAAAAGTGCTAATTAAAATTTTAGTTCTCTTTTTATTTACTATCTACTCAGTTTTATGTATGACCTATTTCTCTATTAGTGAAATATATATTTAATCTTCTAACTGTTCTTCTCTTAAATTAATTTAAAAAAAACTAAATCATGTTTTTTCTTTGGCTGTTGGTTATAACGAGCTGATCAAATTAGTTCTATAGACTGTGAAACATTACGATTTTTCTTTCTACTTTAAAAGATAAATGTTCGAAATTCCTTTCTATTTTATTGCTTGACAGTTATTAGTCTGAGGTATATGAAGGCAGACATGAACAGCTTTTTTAATTTCTTTCTTACAGGATGAAACAGATGTTCTGGAAAGATGTTCCAAACCCCAAGTACTGCTCGTGGGCTCAAGGAGTGAATTTTCAAAAGGTTAGCTTCTAAACAGAACCTGTTCTTATTTGTGTTTAGCTTATGGTTTTCTTCTCAGGATTATTCATCAAAGCGGGAAGAGCCGAGAATTCAAAGAAAAGTGAATTAAAAATTGTAGGCCAAAATAGTTAGACTGGAAGTATGGCTGATTTTAGAATCTCTTCACTTCACTACTTTGGTATAAATTCATGGTTCTGAATCCTCCATCTCTAAATTTGGGCCCAAAAAAATGTGTTTATTTCCTTGAGGGTGAAGTAATATTTAGCAATGTCCTCTTAACTAGCTCTGCTAAATTATGATTTCATGCTATTTTTTGGAAAAAATTGCTTAGACCTACCCTTAATGCAACACGCTTTGTCTTCAACATACCCTACCAAGGTTTCTCGGTCCTAGCTATTTTTACTTAATAATTTTGAGCTCCTGTATATATGTTTGATCTGTTATGGCAACTGTTGAATGAAATAGTCTTATATGTCTTCCTTAATTGTTATTCACTGCAGCAGTTGCTGCATATGTAATATGTATATTGCGCAATGTTTACATCTAAACTATTCGCTTCCTGACGCTAATAAACCTACTAAGCATAATTTGTTGCTGTTTTGTCCAGCCAGATACTCTAGAAAACCTATTCATTAAGCACCATGAACATCTGGCTCCCAACTCTGTGTATCTCTTGGAACCAGAAACGTCCTTCGAGAACTTGAGTATTGACAAAGCATTCCAGAAAGAACATGTAGATGACATATCAATTGTTAATGGCCTGTTCACGGTAGTTGATGATCCTGACCACGACTCGGCCTGTGCCACGAGTAGCAGTTGTGTTTACGAAGATGGTGTAGAGGAGACCATTTACACTAGTGTCATATGCCAATCCAGTGTCAAGTATGCATCAATAATTAATAATCCGCAGCAAAGAGAGAACTATATTAACGAGAGGAAAGTGAGCGCTAGTTCTTTTGACGGCTGTTTCTTGGAAAACAAGACTTTAGTTATTGGAAATCTGGAAGACGAGCAACAATCTTTTATTATATTATCGGGATTACAACCAAAGCAGCCCAGCAAGCAGTCTTCCAACTCCACCGTATCATCTGAGGGCTTCTCGGAACCTTCAGATCACGAAGAAAGTTTTGCTGATTTTTGCAACATAGAGAGGAGCCTCTATTACATCGGACTTGACTCGTCACAGCAAAGCGAGGCCGAAAACTATTTTTCAGAAAATCCCTTGGAGACCTATCCTTTCCAGGAAAACATTCCCTATAAACAGATGGACTTCATAAAAGACACATCTTCTGAGTTCATCACTAACTCGTATGATAACAGAGGGTCGGTTAAGAATGTCATCTCATACATGCCGCAGTTTCAAGTGCACCCTACGAAGCTACAAGGAATGAGTGAATGAGATATTTATCATCTAGGCTTGTAGAATCCATCGCAGCTCAATGGCTGTCAAGTTATTATGCATTAAATTGCATGATCGAGGATTATGTTCCTTCATAAGTGTAGTATGGCAGATGGCTAGGAATCGAACGCCATTTGTGGGAAAAAAGTATCTCCCAATGTGAAAAAAAGGCACAAGTCTACGATCTTAACTGTGAAATCATCTGCATGTTATAGTCATAATGTTTTCATCAGCAAACATACTTAAATATTGCTGCCATGTGGTGAGTCTTCAGTGCTGTTTGATCCAGGGCAGCAATGAGAGAGAGCAATATTTTGCGGACATGCGTCATATCTTTTGGAAATGTGATAAGTACGTGATCAGCAGTATTAATAACATGTTAAGAAGTGCATCGCCTGCTAACCTTTAACAGACAAGGATACATTTCAAACCTGATACAAATATTGGTACTGGAAGGTAGGGTTATGGACTAAAGACATCAGTGCTTGTGTACACACACACACGCAATTTTATGGGTTTGAAAATCCCAACGCAAGTTTCAGTTCTCGATTTATAGAGTTTGTTGGCATTCAGGGAGACCAGTGAAGGATACACAGTCTAGAATTACTCGCGAGTGTGTTAGTCAGCTGTGTAGTGAGCTTTGCAATGGGCTGCCAAATCTAGCATGCTGACTAATGTGTGAGACCGGCTGTATAACTGAGTTCGGGATCTTAATCTTAGATTAAAAAGTGCAGAAATATATTCCGGTATACAAATGATAGTGACGGTCCAATCTCCAAATGGCTCAAATGCTGTAAGATTCTATTTTTTTATTAATAGTAATTGTAAGGAGAATCCTATTCAGTTTTAGAACTCTGGCCCCCAAAATGCTAAAGAATAACATTTTCTCTCTCTCTCTCCGGATATATACATATAGAGAGTTGTAGAGATGGATAGGATACTATTGCTTCGTTTTATGATTCTAAATGTTAAATTGAGAGGATAGACTGCACCCTGCTGGCTGAGGATGGTATGATTTGAAACATATTTCCGTTATGTCTGTCTTTACGACATGGTTGTGATTTTCTGAAATACAATTGACAGTTGTGTTCCCTAGAGATTCTGCAGCAGCTGCGATTCTGGCTCCAATTAAATATCCTCTTATCCTTTCCTTTCCTCCACTGTATTCCCAACAGGCAGATTTTTTTGTTTTGTTTTTATTTTAAATAACTCGTTGACTATTTTAATTATGGCTGCAAACAAATTCTGTTAAAGAAGAAATATCATGCAGACCATCATCTGAAAAATACAGGATATGATACAATGTCAGATATATGGAATGTAATCAACCGATTATTATAACCCCACCAATGCCAAGGGAAGATTATATAGAGAGATGGCTGGAATCTGATCCGGAATATATATCCGGAAATTGTATTACTCACCTTAAATGGAAGGAAGTCGATGTATGATTAATCAGCAGAAGGGATCACACGATACGTAATATGATCACTGGTTATAGAATAGATTGACAGAACACCTTTAGGTGACTATATCATTCTTTTTTTCCCCCTATCTTCATCTGTTTTATTAGACGATTAAATCTCTACATGGTAAGAGAACAGCCTAGAACATTAGAGGGGCCTAGTGTGGGGATGGGTCATGGCCTATTGTTGACAGGAGCCAAGGTCTAATGAGGGCTTTGGTCATCATCTATTGTCAACAGGATGCACAGTCTTAGGCAGTGTTCCCCAACCCAGTCCTCATGGAACCTTTTGGTCATGATCTATTGTAATAGGAGGAAAACCTAATGAGGTATTTGGTCATGACCTGTTGTCAACAGGAGGCACAGTCTAAAGTGGACTTGGGTCATAGCCTACAGTAGGCATAGAGTTTATCTTAGCTAGAAAAAGATAGAAAGGCGTGTAAGATAAATGACACAGAAAAAATAAATACTACACCAGTCAGGAAGATTCTAATAACATGATCAATCTAAAAAACAAAAATATAATACATAGTGCACGCTGTATATACAAGAAGTAAGCCCCTATATAGGATGACTCACAGAATGTAGACCCTTCCCTCTTGCGCATCATATAGAGCCTAGGACGGCCACCCTCCTGCCCATCATATAGAGCCTAGGACGGCCACCCTCCTGCCCATCATATAGAGCCTAGGACAGCCACCCTCCTGCCCATCATATAGAGCCTAGGACAGTCACCCTCCTGCCCATCATATAGATCCTAGGACGGCCACCCTCCTGCCCATCATATAGAGCCTAGGACAGCCACCCTCCTGCCCATCATATAGAGCCTAGGACAGCCACCTCCTGCCCATCATATATAGGACGGCCACCCTCCTGCCCATCATATAGAGCCTTGGACGGCCACCCTCCTGCCCATCATATAGAGCCTAGGACGGCCACCCTCCTGCCCATCATATACAGCCTGGGACGGCTCTACATCCTATATAGGGGCTTACTTCTTGTATATACACTATGTATTATATTTTTATAATACATTATTGCACTATGTATTATATTTTTGTTTTTTTAGATTGATCCTGTTATTTTTTTCTGTGTCATACAGTTTATCCTGCTGTATACTGACGGAATGACCTAAATTTGACATGTATCTTAAAGTGGACTTGGGGTAAGGCCTAAATTAAATGAGATAATGATTCAAGTGAACGAGAAAGAGGAGTGAATGTAACTCATTTTAGTGAGTTAGATGCCACTCAAGGCTGCATGCAAGTGTGAGAAATGAATGTGTTTATGTGACACCATACGCACATCCTCCCTAATAAACCCATACAATGCTATGGGAGCCCTCTTGGTTTCTTTTATACATTTGGGAGTCCCAGGCCAACTCCTTGGTTTTGCACCCCTCCCTGTTACAGGTGCCTCATTCCAGGACCTTATTTAGCCTTGACTTGCAGAGAGTCCCAGTAAGGAAGTATTTCCCAAGTAAGTGGATTAATCTCATAAGAGCAAGCATTAGGCTGCTACTAGGATAGGACCTGCCGAATATGGGGTACTTTGATGTAGTTGGCAGGCTTATGCCATGTATGATCATATAATGTAACTAAACCCCCATAATGTTTTGCCTATGTGAGGTGTTTTTAAATAAAACTATTACAATCTGTAAGATTTGAAATCATTGTTTAGTGAATAAGCGAGTGCGCTGGATTCTGTATTTTGGATATATTGGCCCCAGCAGCACCTTATAATGTATGCATGTTCAGATGAGTGCAGCCCTCTTGGTTTATTATATATATATATATATATATTTTTTTTTTTCAGTTCAAAAGCTCTTGCACTCCAACAATATTTACAAAACCCGGTGCTCAGTCATAAAATAAATAGTAAATCCCCAAAATACCGGCACTCTGGGAATTCCAAATCTTTTATTTAATGCCAGATCCATGTCAACGTTTCAGCTCCTGCACTGAGCTTTCATCAGGACAAATACCAGATATGATGTCCTGATGAAAGCTCCGTGCAGGAGCTGAAACGTTGACATGGATCTGACAATAAATTGAAGATTTCGAATTCCCAGAGTGACGGTATTTTGTGGGATTTACTATTTATTTGGTGACTGAGCACCGGGTTTTGTATATATTGGATTTAATAAATATATATATATATATATATATATATATATATTACACAAGATCCAGCGCACTCACCTGTCCACTAAACAGCAACTTCAATGTTGAAAGATCTTTCAACATTGAAGATCTTTCAACATTGAAGTTGCTGTTTAGTGGACAGGTGAGTGCGCTGGATCTTGTGTATTGTATTATTTGGCCCCCAGCAGCACCCCCATTTATGCATGTTAAGGTGAGTGCAGCCAACCCCCTCTTGTTTTATATATATATATATATATATGTATATATATATATATACACACACATGGTCTCTATGATGAATTAGAAAGAGTAAGGTAGGGGTCCAACTGCATTATGTAGTAGTAAGGCAAATCACAAAATCTAAAAACTCTTTTGGAATTCGTACCTGGCTTTTATTTTATTTGTTTATGTTTTGAAAGGTTATTCTCTAAACTCTGAGTTGTAGCAAAATTTAGGCTATAACAGACAATCTGTAAATATAAGAGATGCAGAATTTTCCAGATCAGCTATTTCCCCCACAATTCTGCAATTCGGGTTAAAATGCACAGAATATGACTTTTAATGAATCTGTATAAAATGCAGAAATTATTGAAAAATAATTAAGAGCATATCCTGCTGATGTTACAAAAAAAAAAAATTGTTGCACACTTTTCAGCAATGCAGCTTATTCCCAGACAACAGAATAGAACCTGTATCTCTTACGCAGATACACTTACAATATTAATTTAATGATGCTGTCTTACCCCACCGATCCAGATCCACCCATTTAAGGGGTGAAGGATGAACATATGGCGTGATGCAGAATGCCTATTTTGTGTCTTTTCACAGTTGGCCATATGCTGACAGCTAATCCATTCTGTGTTAATGTGGCATTATCGTCACAAACCCAAGTTAGCACAGGGGATTCTTGTTAACTCAATTCACGCTCACAGAAATATTAACCTATAATAAGGTGTAACTGCAGCGTCTGTCAATACTGGGATCTTCACTTTCAAAAAGATTGATCTCCCCTTAAAGTTTGAGTTTCGTCACCATAATACAAAGACGACATATTAATAGAGGGTGTCAGCCAATTGAGAGGACGTAAATATGGGGCGATTAATAAAAGAGTTTTAAATAGAAAACTGGGACACGTTTCTAATAATAATCACCGTGGAAACCGTCAGAATGTCCTTGTTTATTCCTTTGGTTTCCGTGGCGATTGCCCTATTTTTCCCCCTTAGTAGCACTTTCATATATCACCCTCATTGTGACTTGTGACTACCACACAGCCCATACACATAGCCACATGAAATAAGGCATTGCACAGTTTTGGTATAGCAAGCTAAAATTAGGTATCATAGGGCTTTGGATAATGCTTCAAAAGATGAATATCAGCTACAAGGGTCAGAGGAAGGAGTAATAAGGGGTATTAACTAACTTCATCTCCAAGGATATATGTATACACTGATAAACCACAACATGAAATCCACTGACAGGTGAAGTGAATAACATTCATTATATTGTTACAATGGCACCTGTCAAGGGTTGGGATATATTAGGCAGCAAGTGAACAGTCAGTTCTTGAATTTGATGTGTTGGAAGCAGCAAAAACGGGCAAACGAAAAGTTCTGAGTGACTTTGAGAAGAGCCAGACAGTGATGGGCAGGCAACTGGGTCATATCATCTCAAGTCTTGTGGGTGGTCCGCAGTGGTTAGTGCCTACCAAAAGTGGTACAAGGAAGGACAAACAATGAAATTTAATATATAGTGTTTATAGTTGGTGATTGAGATATAATGTACTTCCTAGCTAGTGAGCGAGATATTACATATATCCACTCAATGCCCCCACATAAAGGAGGTCTGTGGACAAGGGTATGTGCAATGATCCAATATATGGCAATACTAGATTAGAGAGTCCAAGAAGCTGGCATTTGAAATTATTTAACTCTTCACCAAAAAGTAACCAAAATATTACACAACAACAGTGATTTAATGTTAAGTAATAAAGTGGAATAAACACATATTTAACATGAACATATGGTATAATAAGTGAGACCACAAGTTTACTTTCCAGATTCTCGTGTAGTCCTGGAACACATAAAATAACATGCATAGGTAATGGTGCAATAATGGTGCAGAAATTGTATTATTGACTGTGAAATACAAATGTATAATGCTAGTCACATTGACCTATCTTTTTTATAATGCCAGGGTTATTCGCTAAATTGGGAGCTGTCAGGAATTTTACGGAACACTGTCATGTTCCCAGCCCTTCTAAACCTGCTTGTTGCCAATTAGGTAACCCACCTGGCCAAAGATTGCATTGCTTTGCAAGGTCACGCCAGCTGATGTCATTACAATAGGAATGTGCGGTCAAGTAAGCATGTGGTCCCGGCTGAGGCTTACGTAAATTACAGCTCCCAGGTGGAGTAGCAGTGTGTACCTGTCGGTGTTCCTTTTAATTTTTGTTTAAATGTAAAAAAGAAAAATGGAACAATTCACTCAAGTTAGCATTTTTTTCCAGATCAGCTATATTGCCGTAAAGTTTGCAATTCCTGACACTCCTCGGTTTCGCAAATAACCTTGTAAATGTATCCTTGTAAACGTTTTGTTTAGAATTTAAACTTCTACTTTATTATTTTATGTTTCGTACTATTAAAGGACCACTCTAGGCACCCAGACCACTTCAGCTTAATGAAGTGGTCTGGGTGCCAGGTCCCTTTAGGATTAACCCTTTTTTTTTTTTTTTATAAACATAGCTGTTTCAGAGAAACTGCTATGTTTATAAATGGGTTAATCCAGCCTCTAAAGCCTCTAGTGGCTGTCTCATTGACAGCCGCTAGAGGGGTTTGCGTGCTTCTCACTGTGAAAATCACAGTGAGAAGACGCAAGCGTCCATAGGAAAGCATTATGAATGCTTTCTTATGAGACAGGCTGAATGCGCGCGCATCTCCTGCCGCGCATGCGCATTCAGCCGAAAAGGAGGCTCGGAGGCAGAGAGGAGGAAGAGAGCTCCCCGCCTGGCGCTGGAAAAAAAGGTAAGATTTAACCCTTTCCTCTCCCCAGAGCCTGGCGAGTATGTTTTCCTGGCACTATAGTGGTCCTTTAATGCTTTCGGTATCATGTTTTCTGGAAACCATTAAAAAAAAGCAAGTGCAGATTTATCAAGTTACAAGCTAAGCCTTTTTTGTCACATGCCTTTAAGTCACAATGCCAAACTGTTGAAGAACGATCTCACCAAAAACGTCATAAAGATTCTAAAGACTCGTCTCACCTGCAGACTGCAAACACTGAATGGATGGGGATGTAATTATACTGTGAACGATATCACAATATGCTCCATAAAATAAAATGTGAAGCTATTTTTGTAAACGTGCAATTCATACAAATTTAATGATATTTACATATTCTATTTTTGTGAAATATGAAGTTACTATAAAGCCGCTGAAGGAAATGTATGGAAGTATTTTTTTATGTCTTTAACTGGTTAGTATGAATATGATCGTACGTACGATATGAATAAATTATATCAACGCCTTACTATAAACCAGTTAGCAAAAGGCAGCAGTATACTCACAAATGTGATAAATCCAAAAATGGCAAAAAGTTATCCCAGCTCTTCTCAGTTATGTCACTTGTGAGATTTTAATAAAGCTAAGTTCTGCAATAAAAACATTTTTGTTGTTTGTTTTTTAAAACTTTGTTTTAATATTATAATTAAAGGGATACTACACTGCCCAAATCCAAAATAAACAAAAATCATTGTTTAGTAGAAACTCGCTAAGACAATATGCATGCATTTAATTATTTATTTATTATTATTTGTTTCATAGGGGATATTTCTAAAAAGACCAAAAAACTGTAAAAGCTGCAGATCTCTTGTCTAAAGTCTTTGGAAACCTCCCCTTCTAACCCAGCCCATTTTCTAAACACAGACTTACCAATGCAGCTCAATGAGAAGTCTTTATAGGGCAGGTGACCTGGGTAATTCCTGCCTCTTCAATTTAGCTCCACTGAACTAAACAAACCAGGAAGTAACAGGACCAGCAATCTGATTGACAGCCAGAGGGGTGTAACAAGGTTAATATTTAAAAGTGCCAAATTCTATTGAAATCTGCACTTTTTATAAAACAAAAAGAGGACACACTCTTCACACTTTAGGGATCTGGACTGTCCATTTAGGTTAGAGCAGAGACATATTTATATAATCACAATTCATAAAACGTGAGAATGCACAGAAAAAAAATGGGTGAGGGAGGGGAACCCTGAAGTGGTAAAGTGGAAAAATAATGCCGGATAAAAAAATACTAGTTAAAAATTAAAATAAACTATTTATTGAAATTAATACTGTGTATTCAGTTAAATCAGTAAAATCGCTTAAATAAAACATGTGCACATGCTAAATCATACATTGACAATTCAAAAAATAACAGTATACAAAATAACAATGAAATTCAATACATAACTAGCAGCTGTAAAAAGTTCATGTGAAAAGTCTCCTTATACTGGTATAATCCAGGTAAATAAAAAAGAAAAGATTTTTTAATACCCACATAGGTACCTGTTGCAGTGTAAAGACACTGAAAGTAATCCTCATCCCAGTGATAGGACCTGCAGGTAACCTGGTCTTTATTATTATTATTATTATTATTATTTATAAAGCGCCAACAAGTTCCATAGCGCTGTACAATGGGTGTCAGGGTCTCTGCTTTGTTCCAGCTTCTGAAGGTCTGTGGAATGGAGTCCTTCCAGGTCTTGTGAAACAACTGCTGTTAGTGGGATTTCAAGTTGTGACTGATCCTTCTGCCACCAGACACCACCAAATAGCAGCCAGCGCTGCTATTTGGTGGTACAACCCATTGTACAGCGCTACAGAATCTGATGGCGCTATTTAAATAATAAAATAATAATAATTGATAAAGCCCAATGGGCGGAATGCATTTGGTGGCTATTTGTTTGCTACCCTCCTTTTTTCATATTTATATAAGTAGAGATTTCTGTGGCTTTCTCAGCGCCTGTCATTAGTCATTCTGTGCTGACACAGAATTATGTTGTTCGATACGCAAATATATGTAAAATAAAGACACAGGCCTAGGTAGATTATTATCCTGCAGGATTTCACATAAGGTGGGACTTTTTGTATTTTTACTCAGAATTAGCAGGTGTGCCCTTGTATCCATAGAATTCAACAGTCCAATGGAAACAAAATGTGCTTCAAATATTCAAATCAACATTTCAAATCAACATTGCCAGATTGTAACCAGTCTCTTAAATACATTTCCAATTTACCTTTTCTGTCCAAAAACGCACAATCTGTTTGTTAATACTACACAACCTCTATTTAGTGAATAAACCAACGGACAGAAATGAAATCATATCTTTATAAACCATTAAAAGACTTAAAGGGACAATATAGTCACACAGACCACTTCAGCTCAATGAAGTGGTCTGGGTGGCAGGCCCATCATGTTTTAACCCTTCAGATGTAAACATAGCAGTTTCAGAGAAACTGCTATGTTTACATAGCAGGGTTAATCCAACCTCTAGTGGCTGTCTTCCTGACAGCCGCTAGAGGTGCATCTGCGAAGTTGGATGCGGAATTCGCATCCAACGTGCAGAACGTCCATAGGAAAGCATTGAGAAATGCTTTCCTATAGACAGTTTGAATGTGCACCCGGCACTTGCCACGCATGCGCATTCCGCTCCACTTGGGAGCTTACGTTGGTGGGGAGGAGAGGTCACCAGCACAGAGGGAGCCTGGCGCTGGATAAAGGTAAGCTGCTGAATGGGGTTTTAACCCCTTCAGCGACAAGGGAGGGGGCACCTTTAGGGCACTATAGTGACAGGAAAACTTTGTTTTCATGACACTATAGTGATCCTTTAAAAAATATATTTCTGTGTTATAGCAACCCTAGTATTTTTGCCCCAGCCTGACGTTCATATGGTGTTCCACTCTCCTGCTTCCTCGTAACCCAGAGTCTGGTTTCATTTGCACCTGGTATCATTACACCAGCTCCTTAATCCTACCTTACAACAGCTTTTTACAAAATCTAGCATCACTCCCTCTTCTATTACCTCAGATCGAGGAACCTTTGCTGCCCTCAATGTTTTAATGGCCTAATATATTAGTTTGATGTAGACATTGTGATATTAAACTCGCTACGCCTTCAATTTCTGAACACTTCCATGAAACAGCAGGTCTTGTTTGTCATTGCGATTTGTGCAGGTATGAATTATTAGTCATCCTGATCATTCTGATTCTAACAACCAGGCTGCTGACAACATAATTGCTATTAACACTTTCTCGTGTTCTTAATTAGGAATCCTATATAAAGGGCACTTCGTCAATACTATTCGTAAGAAACCTACAGGAACGATGTTCTTTGGGAAATACAGAGTGTACATACTCTTTGCGTTCCTTGAATTCATATCACATTGCGTCCTGAGTCACAGAATAATAAGAGGTTTGTAAAAAAAAAAAAAAAAGTTTGGAGCAATTGGTTGGAATATTCAATGGGCTTCAATAGTGGCTGCTACAATTTCAGAACTTTGCACAAGAATTGCTCTTCATATATACCCCCGATGACTGCAAAACCTGTGTGGTTGTATTGACAATCATTTGCCCCTAAATCAGGGAACCATGTCAATAAATTCACTCTGCATTGAGTAAACAGACTCGCCAATGAGTAATGCTAGAGAATTTCCACACTTCAATTTTCAGTGGATTCTCACATATTGTACATTGTGAGCGTTTCTCTCTCATTAATTATACATCGTAGCAAGCAATCAGTTGACCCTCTCAACTAATAGATGAGCAGCAGGATTGACATCCGACTTCTGCAGTTTTGCAGAAACCAAATGTTGTAACCTACCTATAGAAGAGGCCTCGTACTGGTAACAGGGCAAACTGTTGCAATATTGCTTGCCCCATTTCCAGGGATTGCCACCAGGCTGCTCCCACCTGTATAACCACTAACGCTGTAGTGCTTATGGTGGATCGGGTAACCTTTTAAATGTGACTACCACAATAAGAATCATAACAATGGTTTCGTAAAACTTTTCAAATATTTATTCCATTCGCCTTATTGTACAGGAAAAAATTAAATTTTAAAAAAGTATGAAAAATAAATTGTGCAGTTATTCCCGTATGCCTACATTGTTATGCTATATGTTATTATTTGCCTTGCTTTTTCTGTTGGGGCATAGTGAGATTGCCTGTTACTCTCATGGACGTCAAAAATAAATAATAATAAATAAAAAAAGAACGAAAAAAAAAAAAGAATTGCATCACACCCTTATATTATTTTCGACATTGCTGTATCACAATTACATGTCGCAGTGTAAAGAGGTCATTTTTACATACTTTTCAGATCGTATATATAACATAAATAATAAAGAAGACGAGAAATGTCCTTTTCTTGGAAAATTCCTTTTCCAGCAATCTATGTACGGCTTCCAAAAATAGCTCAGTCCGATCAGCGACCGGCTTAGAAAGTGCGCTTAGAAGCTGAATAGGTGATTTTTCTTTCTTACCGCATCACCTGTCACCTGTGCTTGGCATTGATGCTAAGATTGCAAGTCTATTTATGTACTGGTTTATTATGCAAAATGCTACATAATCAGAGCCTCAGGTACTTAGGAGAGGTGTATTCCCCATACTCCCACACACTCAATAATATGTGCAAGTGAAGCAGAACTATTGATACCCAGGAATTCTTGGGCTTTCTGGGAGGCCTCGGATATTAACTCTGTTTGCAGTTTCTCTGAAAGTAAAGACATTCCTTATTACTAGAGTCTGGGAACCAACTATAAAATGATCATTTTCATAAACACCCAACAAGGACGGATCTCTATATCAGCTTGGCAGCTCTTTTAAAAATCCCCTGTATTGCTGAAATTAGTTATTTTTATTATAAGCTATGCGGGAATTAAATGATCCACATCTCCCAACAGTTCGAATGGATAAAGAGGGACACTTTAATTTTGGGGTTGTGAGTGGGGGCTTGACCAGGGTTGGGGCTGACTTACTAATAACAATTTATAGAATAACGTAGAGATAGGCGCTCACTATCGGTAAATATAGCAGCAATTGTGCAAGTGTGCAAACACCGGAACCAGCTAATGAAGACCTGGAAACATTTAAATAGCTGACTTTCTATTGAGTGACATACACTTTTGTAAAAGCTTCGGCGGAACGCGTCAAGTGAGGATTTACTCTGCAGTAAAAAAAATTATTTGATTTATTCTTTTAAAATCAAGTCTTTTGAGTACTTACCTTTACCCAGCTCCTGCTGCTTACCCGGTTCCTGCATACATCCTCAGGTGATGATTGTTCCACCTAAAGTTCTTCATACTAGAGCAGGTTTTTCCTCTAGGTTATGTTAGTAGGACAATCTCCTTTTTTAGAAGTTATGTCCACATATCATACCATTGTATTTCTTTATGTTTCTTTTATCATATGATGTCCACATCCACCTGGATAGAAGCTCTGCTGACCTCCATGTTTTGCCCATAGACAGGGATTATACCATCCATGCCTACTAATATAGAGCTTATATAGCTCTATAAAGCGTGAGTGTTCCTTTGACTTACATCCACCATTTTTATACCTAACAACTGTATTGCACCATTATTTGTCTCTTGTTTTGTCTTTAA